CCCTCTCTTCCCCTGTCCTTTCCCATTTTACATGCTCGTACTCACACATATAGAGACATTCTGAGACCCCTTACTAGAAATCACAGTAGTGGTATGCTGGAACAGTGATGGTGTCAAATGGTGAGGTACTTGCTTATGTACCCATGAATGATTACCACATTTGGTTAAATAGAATTTAACCAAAGGACACATCAAGACATGTCATGCCATCCAATGTCAATGCCATGTCCAAAAAAAGTGTTTTAGATTTTGGCCAAAACAAGGTCCTATAAGGCAGCATTACTATTCGGCCAACCTTTTGGAAGAGCCTTGAAATGGGATCACATGATGCCAATTGCTGCATTCAAAATCACATTTAAAGACAGGTGGGAATACTCACGTTTAAATTCACTGAATTCTTGGAGTTCAAATCTCAACTCAAAACCTGTTTTCTTAATGTTATTCTTAAGTGATGCATGTAGTCACTCTCAATTAGGGCCACTGTATTATTCAAATACTTTTTTGTCTATGAAAATCATCATTTTGTCCTTGCCTACCACTGTGCATTGTCTGGATTGCCTGTATCACTGTTGGAAAGCAGTATTAAGCTCTGGAAAGGTGCTATATAAATTAAACATTATTTTTTTAATAGAGTGCTGCGGAGATGATGCATTTTTAGGCCAAAACCCAGAAACTAGTTAGCATTTTAGCACTTCCAGCTCCTTTGTACCAAAGTCAGTTAATTTTGAATGGGTTTTTGGGTAAATGCCTGAAATAAGGTGTGTGGTTAACACAAGCTCAAGATATTTTCATGTTTTATTCTATGGCATAAAATACATCAGTAATTACCCCTTGTGATTTTTTTTTAAAGCTTTTACTTGTCTTGTCTTGCTAATAAGTGGCTAAATGGAACTACAGAGATTGTCAGGGACATTCTCATCTTCATTCTCAACACATCATCCGCTTTCACAGCCTAATTGTGTGTGTGTGTGAGTATATATATATATATATATATGTGTGTGTGTGTGTGTGAGTATATATATATACAGTGGGTACGGAAAGTATTCAGACCCCCTTAAATTTTTCACTC